GGACAAAGTATAGACATCAGATATTTAGAAACATTGTAAGTGACAGAGTTGATCATGCTAACAATGGGTCTTACCGGTACATCTTGAATTTTGCCTGAAACTCTCAGACTGAAGAAGTCTCTTGGAGAAGAGACGAAACGTTTCATTAGAGAAGAACCCGTCCAGAAGACCTATACAATTTATTTTCTGTTTGACATGGAGACCTCACATAAATCAAAATAGCCAAATCCATTGCAGTATTGTATAAAGTATAGGACTTATTCAATGATAAAGCACTCTTTATGTTGTATAATGCAATAATTGTTCCACACTTAATTTATTGTGTTGATGTTTGGGGGAAAGCATGTAAAACAATAACAAATCCTGTTTTTATTTTACAGAAAAGAGCTGTAAGAGTTATTACCAGAAAACATTACAGTCACCCATCAAATCCATTGTTCCACCAGTTGAAGTTATTGAAATTCTCTGATTTGGTTGAATATAGTATTTTGTCAGTTATGTATAGGGCCCATAAAAACACATTACCTTCAAACATCCAATTACATTTTGTTAAAAGAGAGAGTTGTTACAGTCTGAAGGGGATAGAAATGTTTGTGAGACCTAAAATTAGAACCAGTTTGAGAGAACGGAACACTTCGGTCCAGGGAATTAATTTATGGAATAATCTGGAAGACGACGTTAAAAATGCCAGATCAATGTGTGTATTTAAGAAAATGATCAAGGTTAATTAGTTGGAGAAATACTGTATGGGTATAATGTACAAATTGTTTCTCAAGTGGGAATTAAACCTTTGTTGTTTTTCTTTTATTTTTTGTACGTTTTTTTGTAAATTGAAGATAATTTTTGATTGAATTTATTTATTTGAGAAAAAGGGGCAGAAATCGTAATTTTTTTTCTTCTGCCTTTCTTTTGGTTTATGATTTGTATTTTTATTGAATATTGAATTTATGTTGTTTTGTTTTAAATGAATAAACTTTTTGCAATGAAATGAAAAAAAAAATTCTATGAAACCTTTTGTTCAACCCTCTGAATTAAAGCTGAGAGTCTGAACTTCAACTGCATCTGAAATGTTTTGTTTAAAATTCACTGTGGTACAGAACAAAGATAAGGAAAATGATGTCTTTTTCCTAATAGATACAGACCTGACTGTATCTGCCTGGCCAATCACMCTGTAATTGAGTAGATTTTCCAGCTCTCAGTGTGTGTGTGTTTCTTTGTGTAGGTAACTGCATGGACCCTGGGTGGGTGAAGAGTCATGACTATACCCCCAGTGGTCCAGAGAACCTGCAGGTGTCAGTAGTAACCAGAGAAGATGACCGTGGACAGCTGCAGCCCATTCTGCATGCTGATTGGACATTAAAGGATGATGGTGAGTTAATGATAAGGTGATCAGTGTTCAGCACCTTACAGTCCTGCCTCTTGGGATTTTTTTCTACACTGCCTGTCCAAAAAACAAGTGTCCACCTGGATTTAACTAAGGTCTATGATGTTGGGTTGCTGCAGGAGGTCAGTTGTAGGTTCAGCTCAAAGAATGAGGTCAGTTGACTACCTGAATATACTGACTGACCAGGTTATTCCAGCAATGGATTGTTTCTTCCCTGATGGCACGGCCATATTCCAAGATGACAATGCCAGGATTCATGGGGCTCTTATTATGAAAGAGTGGTTCAGGGAGCATGAGACATCATTTTCACACATGGATTGGCTCCACAGAGTCCACTGAGAACCTTTGGGATGTGCTGGAGAAGGTCAGACTCTACCATCATCAATGCAAGATCTTGGTGAAACATTAATGCAGCACTGGATGAAATAAATCAGTTGACATTGTAGAAGCTTATCCGAACAACGCCAAGAGGATGTGTGCCGTAATCGAAGCTAAAAATCCAACCAAATATTAGATTGTGACCTTTTTTTTGGTGACCACTTTTTTTGGACAGGCAGTGTATTGTCTACAACCTGGAATTTGTTTGGACTTTTTTTTATTAAAAGCAATAATTCTACAAAAACACTTGAGATTAATAAATTAAATGGACAGAAATTGTTTAAATACATTAAAAAAAACGTTGTAAATTTTCAGACCCCAAAACTAAATAATTCCGTGATCTTGGTCCATCTTACTTGGACTTTTTGTGTAATCTGCATCTTCTTCCAGATACTCTTTGTTGAATTAACGTCTGGACTGGTTCGGGGTTTTATGGTCATTGTCCTGTTGTAATCCTCAAATCTCAGGAAAACTCCAACAAATTCCTCTCAAAAATTTAGTTTGCAGTTTCCCTATCCCTGCTGGTGAAACACATCCCCTCTGCTTGATGATGACACCACCATGCTTCACTGTAGGGATGGTGTTTTCAACATGAAGAGAGATGATAAAAAAGTTCTTTGCTACAAGTTCTTGGCTACCTGAAGCTTAATAGGGGGCGATTGTGTCTTTTTATTATTGCAAATACTTGTGATTCTTGACTGATTCTTCTGTAAAATGTCTCAGAGACAAGATCTAACTTCTGGTTTATATCAACAGGAAGCATACATTATCTGAAGGCCACTGAGCTTCATGTTCTAGTGATGTCCACCAATCGGAACCAATGTATTAGATACTCTTTTAAGGACAAGCTTCCGATGCGAAGTCCATCATGGGAGAAGGTGGGAGTGAAATATCATGTCCACATTATATTTCATTTATTTTTAGGACTGATGTTGGGTGCAGTATCTATTAAGTCAATGGTTTGGATGTACAATCTTGTGTATAAGTGTTTATTGTTTGTCCTGAGGTGTGGGTGAGAGTGTGAATGGTTGTCTCTGTGATGGACTACGGGCCAGATTTTGACCTTCTTAAATACAAAGTTTGAGGAATGCTGGTTTAGAATCTAAAGCTTATTTCAAACTTCTTGTTTGTTTTCAGTGGTCATTCTCTTCTCATGCGCTGGTKTTACAACCCAGGGAGGAGTACATTGTGTCTGTCTTCAACATCCCCAAACCAGAACAAGGACACACCCATTTTGACGTCAAAAGAACTGTTCTCGTCCCTGGTGAGTTTAAATCATGCAAACGGAACTGTCTGTAGTGGTGAAATTGTTTCGATCCTTCTTGACTGTGAAGGAGTGATCCTCGCTTTTATTAAATTCCTCCTGGTTTAACTCTGTTGGTGTTACCCAGGTTCGTCTCTCAGCACTGTAGTTGGTTCAGAATGCTGCAGCTCATTTTTTTAACACAAACAAAAAAAAGATAACAATAAAAATAAAAATCCCTCAACATATCTCCCTTGTGCTGCTTCCTTTCATTGGCTCCATGTTCCTTTTTAGAATTGATTTTAATTAATTATTAATTATTGTTTATCTAAAAGACCCTGAGTAACCAGTTTATGGAAAGGCTCCTGTAGACCTGTCTGTCCCCTGCAGCCCTGTTCCATCCAGATCTCTAATGGTGCGTTCACACCAAACGTGTTTTGAGTGTCAGGAGCGTCAGGTTTACATGCAAAGTCTATGGTGGACGTGTGTCGGGAAGTGCTGCGGCGCGTTTAGCGCGGCGCATTTTGAGCATTCGACGCTCTCGTCGCACATAAGCGCGGCGAGAGCTTCGAACGCTGGAGTTAGAAAATCTGAACTTTTGCAGCTCGATGCGCCACGTCAACCAATCAGAGAGACTCCA